TCACCATTTGTCCCCAGCCTTGTAACAAGCACTTCATCCCCAAGTGCTTGTCACAGCCACCCCAATGCCAATAGCCCCTTGACTGCACCAGCTCAAGTGTGTACATGTTCACCAGCCAAAGGAAGGTCTGGGAGATGCCTCAGTGTAAAGCAAACAGGTGTTGCTGAGGTGCCACCAAAGAGGGACTGCAGAGGGACATGGGTGCACAGCAGGATGGGTGCCTGGGGTGTTCAAAGTGAGGAGGAGGAGGCAGGGCATGGGACAGGAGAGGTGGTGGAGCGAGTCCAGCCAAGGGCAACGAGGGCAGAAAAGGGCTAGAGCACATGAGGAAGGGCTGAGGGAGTTGGCCTTGGTTAGCCTTGAGAAGAGGCTCAGGGGTGACCTCCTGACTCTCTGCAACTCCCTGACAGGGTTGGAGAGAGGTGGGGGATGGGGATGGTCTCTCCTGCCATGCCTGCCTGGTGGTTTTCAAAGCCAGGTTGGCTAAAACCTTGAGCAACCTGGTCTGATGGGAAGTGTCCCTGCCCAGGGCAGGCAGTTGGGGCTGGCTGATCTCTAAGCTTCATTCCAACCCCTTAACCTACTATGATAGTACGACTAGAGAGAATGGTCATGAACTGAGACAAGGGAGAGTCACAGTAGATGTTAGGAGAAATGCAGCACTTAGTGCCATGGTCTAGTAAGGACGGTAGGGTTGGACTCGATGATCTCTTCCAACTCGGTTGATGCTATGATTCTGTGACTCTATGTTTTCCCTGTGAGGGTGTTCAGGCACTGAGATATTGCCGAGGGAGGTGGTGCAGTCACCATCCCTGGAGGTGTTTAAGAGGTGTCTGGATCTGGTGCTGGAGGATCTGGTTTAGGGTTTAGGGGTTCCAGCAACGACAGATTAATGGTTGGACTCGATGATCTTAGAGGTCTCCTCCAAGCTTGCTGATTCTGTGATCCTAGGGGTGCCCCACACTGAAGCATCCCCAGGCTGCAGGTGCCTGGGCAGAGCCTGCACCCCCCACAGGTCCCTCCCGCCCCACCGCGCGGCCCTGGCTTCAATCATCCCTCGATTACACACTGTTTGCCTTCGCTGACAGCACCTTTACTCGCACTTGTCAAGCACGTTGTAAATCGTGAGAGAAACAGCCCTGCCCTCCCTGAGCTCGGGAAGGGGCAGGCAGGTCCCTCCCGGCCACGCACACACCGGCGGCTCATTCCCAGCACCGGAGCCAGCGCTGCAAGGAAGGGCCAGGGCGCAGGATCAGTCCATGCCTGCTCACACCAGCAGCAGCCCTGGGGCAGAGACAGCAGCCAGGCTTTGGAAAGTGCTGAGCATCCACCACCTCCCTCGGGAAACCAGGGGAGCTCCCGGACTCCCAAAGTCCACACCACCGAGTGTCCGTAATTATTTAGCTTAGGGGTAATCTGCATGTCTCAGACACAGCCAGGGAGCGTCTCCGAGGTAATCTCAGGTCACGGAGGCAGAAGGGAAGAGTAATCAGCCGTTCTGAGTGTGGAAGACACAAAGAAACAAGCAGTGAGAATCAGGTGGTGGCAGCAGGTCTGTTACTGTGCTGCTGAAGCTTTTCCCTGGCAGACAAACCAGCTGGAGCAGCTTCAGCCTCTCTGTCCTGCCCTTGCCCCAGCTCTGCAGTTTGCCCTCTCTTCAGTTATGCTAATGCAATATGGGCTAGACCCAGGCCCAAGGGTGTGCAGATGGTCATCACCCAACACAGGGAGGTTTCTCCCTAATTCAATACATAAAGCTGCACTCCTGGAATCACACTGTGGTTCCTTACAGCCCCAGCCCACCTCCAGGCTCCACACACCCCACTTTGGGGATGTTTGTTGCCAAGCTGGGTCACTCTGGTGATGTGTTTTATGATCTGTGTTACAGGTGCTTGCTCAGCACAGGCACAGGGCAGGGAACTGCACGCCAGAGCAGACCTGGACCTGAGGATGGGAGTTGGGGAGGCTTTGCAGATGGAGAAAATAGGCACAGAACAACTTGTGGGACCTGCTGCAGCTGGCAGGGCAGGTTCACCACTCAGGGAAGTTCAGCTAAGTCTTATAATGGCAGCAGAGAAGCCACTGGAGCTCCCTTTCCACCACATCTCCTGGACACCAGGGATAGAGAGCTGGACTGCACCGACAGCTCCCTGGAGCTCCTCCTGCACTGACTCTGGCAGGAAAAGTCCATTGGGAGCTGTACACCACAGGTATATCCCTCATGTCTTCCTACATCTCCAGAAGTGGATGCTACACACACCAAGTGCTTGTGTCTCCCAGCTGCTGTCAGCTCTGCTCTAAAATCAGCTGCTCTGAAAGCAGCAGTGTCAACATAGGCCACACACAGGAATCATCCTCCAGGCTTGACACCATCCTCCCAGGAGACACTGCCAGAGGCAGTGACAGCTCTGCAGTGCCACATCCCTGAGCCAGAGAGACCTTCCTGCCCTCAGTGCTGCCTTACCCAGGCAAAGCTCAGGGAAGGGCTTGAAGAACAAGAGATACCATCCCAAAGTTCAAAACGGGTCTGATTTCTGAGCAGGTTGAAGGGAGAGCTGTTCCCAGCTCACACACTGGTGTGGCAGCTACAGAGGCTGCTGAGGAGCTGCTCTCTGCTCAGACAGTGTCTCTTTCTCCAGCTCCAGCACACAGCTGGCACATGGCACATCTCTGCCTGGCACCAAGGCTGTGCCAGCCCTTCACTCCCAGCAAAGCCCACATCCCCTTGGCCAGGCTGTGACCACAGCGAGATGAGCTGCCTCTGGATGAGCTGGAGCAGTTATGAAGACTTTGCAAATCAGATTCTTGTTGAAGCTGATATTTCCAGCTTAATTGGTCTGTTCACAGAGCACAGACACTGTTCTTTTTCCTGAAATAGCTCTAGTATCAAATGACTTGTAAGCAAAGCTAATGGATCAGTTCCCCCCTGCAAAAAGCAACTGGTTTTCCCAGCTCTTGCCTCCCACTGCACTGGCATCCCTGGAGAGGTCTGGCCTGACCAGCTGGGGTGCAGCCTGGTCACAGCCCCAGCTGCAGCTTGCCCAGTGTGCCCACAGCCTGGCCCTGTGTGCCCACCCTACTCCAAGCACTCTTGCCTGTCCCCTGGGGAGCTGCAGCCTCACACAGAGCTGCTCTTCCTTCCCCACACTGCTCCTTCTTGCATTTCACATCAGGTTGGCTTTAACATTGCATCCTGAGCATTTTACACCTTGCTGGGATGGGAAATGGAGCTATGAACTTAATTAAGTGCCTAGTAGTTGTTCACAGGTACCTTTTCTCTCTCCTGGCCATGGACCTCACCAGTGGGATTGCCATCAGCTTCAGCAAGCCAAGACAAACTCCCTTTATCACAAGCTGGGAGTGCTTTCCATGGAGCATTCTCTTGACTACTGAGGCACAGAAAAGCCTTAGAAAGGCTTGTGATGTGTTCTAGAGTATTTTTTCCCCTGTCCAGTAGCCACCTGGAACAACTCAGGGAGGAGACACTGCAGGGCTTTGCTCTGAGCCACAGCCCCACATCCTACCTTTTGGGGGGGGGGGGGGGAGCAAACAGCACCATCACCTGAAAACCCAAACAGTCCCAGAGCACATGTCATGATGGAGAGTCACCAAGATGCCCCTTCTAGGCTCTGAGATGCTTAGATTGGAACATGTCACTGCACATCTTCACCCCAGCCCATGGCTGGATCACACTCAGCTGAGCAGAGAGCCATGCCAAACCCCCAGCAGCAGCCCCATCACATGGATCCCTCCATGCCAAGCCAGCAGGGCCCCCCTGCCTGGGCACAGTGTCATGCCAGCAAGATGCATCGCAGGAAAACAAGAGGCATGGCCGAGCCTTGTCACCTCAGTGAATCAGCTCCCTGGGGCCGTTTGCAGTGCTGGAGGTAATGAGGTTCTCAGGCTTTGTGTGCTGTTGCTATTTTAGTACATCTGAAACGTGCAGGAAAAGGAATCCAGAGGCTCTGTCTCCTGCGGAGATGTTTGCACTGACCCAGTTTGGGAGGCTGCAGAGCAAAAGCCACGTCACTCGGCCCCCGACAGCTCCCGCTGTGCCCACAGGGATGGGAGTGAGCCACCTGCCCCTGGGCCAGCCTGACAGCCTGTGCCATGGGGCAGGGGCTGCTCCACCACCAGGGGAGGCATCCAGGGGGTTTTACCCCTCAGTTCTCCATCTGCCTCACTTGAAGGGCTTGAAACACTCAGCACAGTGTGTATCTCCTCTCCCAGAACAGTGGGTCACTCACCAGCAATCCAAACCCCATCCCTGGGGAAGAGATGACTCCAGCCACTGTCCCAAACAGCTCCACGGTGACAGCCCCAGCCCCAACGCCAGGCAATGGGGGTGTCAAGTACACCCACACAGGGCAGACATGCCCAGCTGCTTCAGACCCCTACACACACACATTTCTCTGCCACAGCTGCTCAGACAGTGCTCTCAGGCCAGGCTGAACCTCTTCAGCGTGGGAAAAGTGCTGAGACTGCCTCACTAGGTATGAAAAACAGCACTTGCCAAACAACCTCTCTGTGCTTTGAGGCCATCTGGGAGGTCCAGATCAAATGCCTGAGCCCAGCCAAGAGCACGGAAGGGGCAAATCTCTGCACTGCTGCTCCCGTGACCTCGGCCTTTTCATCAGCACCCAGAGAAGCTCTCTCTCTGCTTTCAGCCCTGCCGCAGAGCTGAGCTCTCAGGGCAGGCTGGACACCAGGTTGCACAGCCTCAGCTGTCCAAATACAGATGCTGGGAGGTGGCAGCCCCATCCTGTTCACAGTATCCTCAGCTCCAGCCCACGGATGCAAATGCACTAACTGCTTCCCCAAGCAGGGCAGGAAGCTGCAAACACGGCAGTGCCTGAATACAAACTCACTCCTCACCTGGCAAACAAACAGCCTCCAGCACAGCCCACCTGGCAGGAGAACCACCAGAGCAAACCCCACACACAGGCAGAGCCCCACGCCGCTCTGAGCACAGTTTTCCAGCTCCCTCAGCTCTCTCTTACCTTGCTGTCCGTAGGAGCTGCTGCCGGATGTTGCTGCTTGGTGATGTTCTCAGCCAGACACCAGCAGATCCTCTTCTTCTGCTCCTGGGAGTAAGCCTCCAAACTTAATAAGCACTCTGACTTCTGACGTAAAGGAAACACAGGCAGAGAGAAGGTCATTAGCTGTGTGTCGCAGGCCCTGACTGTTTGCAAACTCTTTTGCTCCAACACGCTGCAGCAGATGAGTCTAAGTCTAACAATCTAACCCTTGTCCTGTGCTCTGGGCACAAGAAAGTGAAATAGCCATGAAACCAGCTCCCAGTGGTATCTCCTCCCAGAGATCCAGGCTGAGTGGGGTGGAGGAGCTGAGTTTGCTTGCAGGAGCAGGAGCAGAACCGTACAAGCACAGGTAGAGCACCAGCAGTTCTGCACCCTGTGCCACCACACTGGAAATGTGTCTATTAAGCTAATTCAGTGGGTGGAAATTGCTCTTTGCTGTATGCAAACATTAATGAGGCACCAGAGCATGAACTGATGAGAACGAGTGCCTTTGGGCTGGGTGGGGCTGGGAGACAGAGCTGGGGAGAAGCTCCAGAGCAGCTTCCTTATCCTGCTCCTGGGTGAATTTGGGGATGAAGCTCCAGATCTGGTCATGCACTGTCTGAGAGCAACATGCAGTGAGGAAGGAATTAATAGGAATGGTGGGAAGTCATCCCAGCTGAGCCCACCTCCTCTTGTGCCATAGCCCCTTCCCTGCACACATCCTCTGATACAGACCTGTTCCTCTTGCACAGGTTTGCTTTGGGCCAAATCTCACTCATTTAAGTAACTTTCTGACCCATTCTCTTGCAACTATCTCTTATCTCTCATGCTAAAAATTAAGCATTAGTAACACCTGCTGCCTGCTGGGATTTTGCAGGTTTTGCTTTAAAAAGGGTCCAGAAACAGCCAAGGATCATCTCCTTCTGTTGCCAGATGGGAAAAGAAATAAAGTGAAAGCAGAACTTTAGGACAGACTGCAAAGAAAGAAAAAAGTCTTCCACTAAGGGGCATGAAAAAGGCCTTTCCTTTCCCCCTAGAATTTCCTTCCAGCAGGGCAGGTCCCCAAGAGTGTGTTTTTTCCCAGAAAGGTCAGAAAGAACTAAAGAACCTGCAGCTTTGTGACTCTGGAGACACAACACAGCCAAAAGGGGAAATGCTCTTTAGTCACACCATTTAAACTCTGTTTGCATTGGATGTGAATTCATTCACATTTAATCCAAATCCCTACTAAAGTGGTAAATAAACCAGCTCCCACGTCACCTCCAGGAAAAGAGAGCTCTGGTTCAGTCCTTTGCAGCTCCAATAAGACTTCCAGGAAAGAGGTTAGAGCTTTCTTATGCCTGAACATCACCACGCCTATTCCTACACTAGAAACACTGAAAATGCCTGTTCAGGGCTCCTGAGCACAATTAGAATGAGCAGAGGTTTGGGATTCAGGGACACAGGGTGGTGGGGCTCCCTCTTACCCCTCAGATCCTGGGTGGCAGTGATGCTCTGAGCATCCCTGGAGCATTGCAGTGCCCTTTCCCATCCCAGATGTCTCAGTCTCTCCCAGTCCCACACCAGCAGATCACCAGGCTGCACCACTGTGGTACCCACTCACCCCTAGGAAGGTATCAAGTTGTTCCTGCTTCCAGAGGAGAGGACAGTTATCAATCTGCTGGAATGAAACCCAGGCTGGCATTTCCCTGCCCTGCATTTGGGGCCAGAAGTGAATGAAGCAACAACTCAGCAGAGCCTAAAAGCCATCAGGGCAGCTGCAAGGAGCTGATGCTGTAACTACTGCACACTCCCAGCCCCACTGAGCTCCTGCAATTCCCCAGGAGTGAGGCTTAAAGCAATTCCAAGGACATCTCATATCCCCTTGCTGGTGACAGACACACAGCTCACCTACCCCTGCCCTGCAGCCCATCACTGATTCAATTACAGTCCATTTCTTTGATTGAATTTAGCATACAGTGCTGCTCAGCCCACGCTGGCTGTGGAGAGCAAAGTGCCCCTCTCCCTCCCTCCTCCCTGCCTCAGTCACCTGGGAATGTTAAAGCCAGGAGAGGAGATTGTCCTCTGGTCCAGAATGAAAGGCAATCACCCCAATGTGTGTCCTGGGTGTTGCGGGCAAGGCTGAAGAGGGACATGAACAGCCAAAATTGCATTTAGCGAATCTGTATTTTACTATCCTTGTGCAGTGAGATCTCAGCACTTTATTCCTGCATAGTGACATTTAACCTCTCCAACACATTCCCCAAGAGAAGAGCTCTGTTTCTCCCTCTTCCATCAACCTGCTCCCCCAAATAATCTTAAACTGGGTCAAGGAAAGTGTCAGCCCAATCCACAGGGGCTGAGCACCCCCAGCTGCCTCCAAATCCCAGGCTCCTGCTGGCAAAGCACTTTGGGGTGCAGCCAGATGAGGGACTGGGTGTTACAAGGGCTAAAGCTCATGGCTTGTGTCCCTGGAGCCCAGTCCATGCTGGACACTGAGCTGCCCACACACAGGGAGGCTGGGACAGGGGTCAGTGAGCACAGGGCTGTGCTGTGCCCTGCACACGCTGCCCAGCTCTGTGTTCATTGGGAATCAGTCTCCCTGCTATTGTTTTCATTCAGGGAGGCTGCTGTTGGGGCTGCCAATATTTACAAAAGAGAAAACAGGGTTTAATCTCACAGTGCTGGGAAAGGAGGATGCAGATGGCGTGAAGGGGGCGTTTGCCACCAGATAAAGCCAGTGACTGAAGTAGCTGCCAGTGGCCTTCTGCTGCCTTCACCCCAGGGCTGGGAAAAACATGTTATTGCAGGTGGCGTGTGCACACAGGCACAGGGGCTGCCAGTGAGCCCACAGATCTAGGGCAGCACCAGTAGGAGACCCCACACCACATGGTAGAACAGGAGGAAAACACAGAGCATGTATTGCAGAGAAGGATCCAGACTAGCCAACACCACCCCAAAAAGACTCTGTTACAGCCAGGAACAGGTTTCTTTTGCTCCACGAAAGCAACTCACCCCTGTGGATGCTCTCCTAGGCTGAGATCTTGTCCCATAGCACTCAGGAGCATGGGGAGATGAGAGGCAAGAGGTTTGGCCAAGCAGAGCTCCTGGATAGCCCAGCAGACACCACCCAAAGAGGGACTGTTGGCTCCATAGCCCACAGATCAGCTGAGGAGCTCCCAGAGAACAGCACACACCACAGGAAGGACTCCCAGACCCTACACACCCACACAGCAGACATGCCCCTCTGTGCAGGCCCCAGCACACACATGTGGCTCTGCATGGCACTGCAGAGCTGAGAAATCACAGTAACAACAAGCTAGACTCAGCCTGACACCTCCAGTGCCCTGAGCTCAGTGCCCAGCCAAGCCCAGGGCTGTTCTCTCACCACTCATCTCCCCAGCTGTGCTGGCAGACATATCCCAGGGGTGGTCATGTCCTAGAATCCCAGACTGGTTTGGGTTGGAAGGACCTTAAAGATCACCTCATTCCACCCCCTGCCATGTGCAGGGACGCCTTCCACCAGCCCAGGTTGCTCCAAGCCCTGTCCAACCTGGCCTGGAACACTTCCAGGGATGGGGCAGCAACAGCTGCTCTGGGCAATCTATGTCCTGGGGTAGATGTTCCCCCACAGATGAGGGGATGCACTTCTGCTCCTTCCCCCTGGCTCCTCTCCTCTGCATGGTTTATTTCAGGGTGGTTTGGGGACAGAGCTCACAGCTCAGCTCTGGTCTCAAACATTCAGAGTGTTGGTCCATGGCCAAACCCAGCAGAGATCCCAGAGGGGAAGTACCTCGGAAATGGGCTCCAGACTACAATAGCTTTAAATCACAGAGCAAACCTTCCACCAGTGAAACAGGCAGCCCTGGGAATATCCTGTGCACAAAACATGGGCAACTGCTGCCTGGTTACTTCATGCCCCACACAGCTAGGTCTGATGAGAAAGTTCTCTTTGCTCCCATGCTGGGGGGGTTGGGGGAGAACCACAGCTCTTCCTGTGGTTTTTGGACTGCTGGGCACACTGGTGGTGCCCAAAAAACAAACACTAGCAGACTGGTGATGCCCAAAAATCAAACACTAGCAGTAACAGCAGAGACCCTACAGCTGGGATGACCCAAAAGTGACAGGATGTCAGGGATGCTCCAGCAGATGATGTGCATGGAGCTGCTGTTGCCAGGGTGCAGCAATCTCTATATGATTCCTTGCTGTGGGGCTTGTTTTGGGGCCAGGGAAGCTCTGCAGATGAAGGTGAAGGATCAATGTACCCATCTTTACTTGTGACACCAAGGGCTGGCCCTTAGCAAACGGGTTTTCATTGTCCTACAGACAGGACAGGCACCAAGGGGAGCAAAGTGGACCTGCTGCCATGCAGTGCAGAGCTACCCGTGGCCCCAGCTCAGCCCAGGCTGGTCAGGCCCTGCTGCACTGAGATGCTGCTGCTAAGGAGGGAGAAGCTGGAGAAGCAATGCCATGGGAGCACTGCATCATGGCACAGCTTGGAGAGTGCCCAAAGAGGTTGTGGATGCCTGGAAGTGTTCCAGGTCAGGTTGGATGGGGCTTGGAGCAACCTGGGCTAGTGGAAGGTGTCCCTGCCCATGACAGGGAATGGAACCAAATGAGCTTTAAGGTCCTTCCAACCCAAACCATTCTGGGATTCTATGCTAAGCCCCCAGGAGGAACAAACAGCCCAAAGAACCTTTTCCATCCCCTTTGGAGCAGCCAGCAAGGACAGAGGGCTCAGTCTGTTTTCACAGGCCACCAGGTTATCCTTAAGTGGCTCATCAGAAAACAGCCTTCACAGGAATCCCAGCCCTGAGCTGAGCCAGGCACAGAGCTCCTGCTGCAAACACCACTGTGGTAAACAGAGAACAGGTCCAGCACCTTCCCTTTCTGCAAACACCCCTTCTCTCAGGGAAGAGGGCTCAGAGCTGAGCAGCCCCAGTGACAGCAACACCAAGCTTAGCCACCCACTGCCAACACAGCCTCAGAGCTGCCTGTTCTCCTTCCAGCACAGCCCCATGGACAGCGAGCCCCAGCCTGTGCAGACAGCCCCAGGGAACAGCAGTTCCCTCTGAAATCAATCCTGGGCCTTTTTTAAAGCTCTCCAGTACTGTAACCACACC